TCTCGTAAGGACTCGTCTGACTAATGCGGCGTGTTCGCCTGTAGTCTTAGAAAAGATGACTATGTCATCTATATAGACTTGTACGTTAGGCATGTCTACAAACATTTCTTCAATTACTTGTTGGAAGAATGCAGGTAAAGAGTGTAAACCGAAAGGTACACCTCTGAACCGGTATTGTTTGCCTTTCCACGTAAAGCTAAAGTATCTACGGTGGGGCTCATATACCTGCATTTGATGGTATCCTTGTGTAAGGTCTATAGTTGTAAACACTGTAGCACCTTCCATCCTTCGCAGTAGCTCGTTAATACTAGGTAAGTGAAAGCTATGAGTCGGCAATGATTTATTTATTGGACTCATATCTAAACATAATCTGACTTTCTTAAACGATCCGTCAGAGTTATGTTGGTCTACGGCTAGCAGTGCCAAGTTAACTGGCGTTTGTTGATAGTTAATTTCTATCACACCATCTGCTAGCCATTTCTCAACTTGTTCTTTTACAACAGCCTCGTGTCTCCAGGATACATAGTTCTTCGAGGGACACTTTAACTGTGTAAAGTCTACCTTGGTTAAGTCAAGGCTGACATATCCGTCGTTAAAGCGGAATTTTGCCCAATCTGTGATCTTTATTTTCTTATTAACAAGAATCAGATCCATGATTTTGTCCGCAAAGTCAGGTATTAATGCCTTGACTGTGTCTGACGGGGGCTTACATGGATTCAGACAGTTATCGTCTGATTGATCCTTTAATGGATCTATGTTAGTTGGTAGACCAGTTATGGTTATACCTAGAGTGAGTAAATCACTCATTCTGACTATGTACTTCTGTGACATCTTGACTATCACAGCTTGAGTAGTGATACTCCTATCATCGGCCAGGGAGATTTTAATATCTGTGGCGATAGTATCACACGTAGCAGTTTTATCATCAGCTAAAATAAGGTGAGTTGTTTGTGTTCTCCTTTCGATATCTTTCATTAATGCAAAGCGATCGGATATACATGAAATTTCTGAACCAGGATCAATCAACGCAAGGATTTTATTTCCATTGCAATATATAGGGATTAATACACGCTCATCTAAAGAGTTGTTGTATTGTCTGTGTAATGATTGTACCTGGTAGTACCGTCACTCCAACTTAATGTTGGACTTTAGGTCACAAGACTCAGTGTGATAACCATTGGTCTTCTCACACTTAGTAAGAAAGTGTGTACAGGTGGATGCATGTCTACCATTTCAATAACCGTTAGGGGTTAACTGGTACATGTCATACCCACACTAGGCGTCGGCACAATTCTTAATCTCCTTAAATGGAGGTTCTATGTCCTTCGCTCCTGCGCGTGCTCGTTTATTGGATCGCGTGGTTAAAGTGGATTCGCGAGTACGTGTATGTTGGGGTCTCTCGTTTGAGGTCTGCCTGGATACGTACCCATGATCGATGAGTTTCCGCGGCTTCTTAACAGCCGCTTTTCCCTTCGATGTTACTCGATGTGCGGGAAAAAGAGTGGATACAGTATTATAATACTGTTCCCATGTAAGTCGGGATAGATGAAACTTTGTTTCATGTCTCTTGTCTCGAGCCTCAGTTGCGTGTTTACGTTGCAACTCGGTGTACAGGCTCTCACGGTCGTTATTCCCTATGTTCTTACAGAACACGTACATAGCAAGGAATTCGTACCGTCGCTGTGCCTTGTCTTTTGTTATATCGGGACGTTTCAGGTCAGCGTCTAACTTCAGAATATAACTCTGAATGGGCGTATTCTCGGCTGGTTCATTTAAAATGGAACTTAGCCCAGGGCTACGCATATCCTTACTTAACAAGGATATGACCAACCAACACACAGCTGGACAGTCACGACAAGTGTCTAGCTCATGCTGATGTCGCTGCAGGATCAGATAACTGGTCCCTGTAGGGTCAAATGTCTGCATTAAGGCAGAGATCCATTGCTGGGGAGCGACATCATTCGTCTCCAGCATGACCGTAAACGCATTAAGCGTACGAGTTAGCGTGTCGAGGTCATGGTTGTTTATAAACTCGACCTGCTTGCTGTTGGCATCCCAGTTCGACTTAAGTCGACTGATCTGTCACTTGTACTTCTGATTATCCATGTGGTCTTGTCCACGTTAGGCCTGAAGTAGTTGGTCTATGCGCTTTTGCTTAATCGCAATAGTATTCGCATAGTATGCTACGTCATCAGCATGATGCGCAGCATGGGCGACTTCCACTTTATTGGTATAGTCGTCGACAGATTTATTAAGGTCGGTCACCTCGTCAGAGTGGAAATCCTCTGCGGGTTGGTGTAAAGCCGTGCGGTCGAAGCGATTAAACTCGACATTGTTCACACGTCTGGGGGGATGATTAATATGCCTTGGCGTCGGAATAACATTCCCAGTCTTAACCTAAAACAGGCTATTGGCATCACGACAATGGTAACTACCGATGGTGTGCTGAAAGCATAAACCAAGCCGTGTTCAGCGATCCTACAAACATGGAGGCCAGATATCTGGAGGCTGACTGTTTGGAGCAAATTGGCTATGCCAAAGAGAGTGGTATCCGTCAAAACTTCATACTCACAGGCTCCCAAGAGCTTCGCCACGGCAAGAAGGTGTACCTAGAGTCAGATTTGGACGAATCGTTTTTGTTGGAAATGCCACTTGGGATAATGTTGCAGAGCTTAGAGATCAAAATCGACCCCACCATGGCCGAACAGTCCGATGGCTTGTCGCTGAATTTGGAGGTGAAGGATACCAACGAGAAGTTCAACATTATCATATCACACGCTGTTCTAATCTCCCCCCCAGTCGATGTATTACCCACCACTGCCCGTGCTACCATTATCGTTGATAGCAAAAAGGCGATGATAAATGTACTATCCACTGGTGACACTTCAGGTGTGGCTATCACAGGCGACAAGGCTGCCTTTGCCGAGCTGATGGGCTGTGTCTCCACTATGTCAGATGGAACCTGGAACATCATTGAACCACGTGAACACTATGTCCCAAAGCCCCAGGCTACGTATCCCCAATCACAAACTTTGGCATCTACAGCAGAACCAGTCTCTTGCCCTACTAGTGAAGATCTCTCTACAGGTGCTTGGGTGGGTATTTGCTTTGCTTGTGCCCTGATTGGTGCCTCTTTGGGAGCTATGACGATGAAATGCTTGTCAAAAAACTCAAAGTTTAGCTCAGAATCGACAACTAAACTTGACGACATCAGTCAGGTAGAGTAAGGCTACATAGTTATTGTTTACCATGTACAGATTTATTACAAAATGCAAGATCGAATGAAATATGTATGACGTATTACATAGCCTTCTAAAACAAACGCGTATTATCAATATCATGACGCAACATCGATAACTTTTTATTTGTTTCTAAAAAAACAAATAGTTTTGATTTGAAACCATATTACACTTAAATATACAACCATAGTGTGCATACATACTCACAGAGTCATAGTGCGCATGACAAGCATCCTAATCAGCGGGAAATAGGCACTACTATGCGGTACCACTTTCCAGCTATATGCTGGGTACTCCTGGTGCAACTCCTGTCACGGCGAGTCTTGGCTCAGAATGCGTTGCACATCAATAAACAATCCGATCAAGTTCGTTTGAAAGAGGCTACTCAAGATGACGATGTAGCTGCAGACACAAACAATGCTTGCAATTCTGCGGTGGGTGTGCGCAAGGTGGCGGTTATAGGAGCGGGTATGGGAGGCTCTGCTGCCTCGTACTTTCTGAAGCGCTTACCTGCAACACAAGAAGCAACGCAATCATGTGTAAGTAGAACTGTGTGAAACACCACACTTCAGTATTCACTCGTACTTACAACTACCGAATACACCACACTTGAGTATTCATGTACAAGTAGAACTGTGTGATACACCACACTTCAGTATTCATGCGTACTTACAACTACCTAATACACCACACTTGAGTATTCATGTGTAAGTAGAACTGTGTGATACACCACACTCGAGTATTCATGCGTACTTACAACTGCCTAATACACTACACTTGAGTATTCATGTGTGAGTACAACTGTGTGATACACCACACTTGAGTATTCATGCGTACTTGCAACTGCCTAATACACTACTCTTGAGTATTCATGTGTAAGTAGAACTGTGTGATACACCACACTTGAGTATTCATATGTAAGTATAACTGCGTAATACGCTACACTTGAGTATTCATATGTAAGTAGAACCGCGTATTACAGCACACTTGAGTATTCATGTGTAAATACAACTGCCTAATACGCCACACTTGAGTATTAATGTGTAAGTAGAACTGTGTAGTACACTAGACTTGAGTATTCATATGTGGGTAGAACTGTCTAATACACTACACTTGAGTATTCATATGTGAGTAGAACTGCCTAATACACTACACTTGAGTATTCATGTGTACTTACAACTGTGTAGTACACTACACTTGAGTATTAATGTGTAAGTAGAACTGTGTGATACACCACACTTCAGTATTCATGCGTACTTACAACTACCTAATACACCACACTTGTGTATTCATATGTGGGTAGAATTGTTGAATACACTACACTTGAGTATTCATATGTGAGTAGAACTGCCTAATACACTACACTTGAGTATCAATGTGTAAGTATAACTGTGTAGTACACTATACTTGAGTATTCATATGTGGGTAGAACTGCCTAATACACTACACTTGAGTATTAATGTGTAAGTACAACTGTGTAGTACACTACACTTGAGTATTCGTATGTATGTAGCATATATGGACAAACCTCTAACAGTCATGATAGGTGTGCTTTCGTGCTTTCGGAGGTATGTTTGCCATCACAATTAAAGACGAGTTTGTACCCGGTTTCTATATAGCTATTTATCTACGTATATATTCATAGGCATACTAATTAATATGCTTTGTTATCTGCAACACGTGCCAGCTTCGTCGTGTAGCTGTGTATGTCCAATAAACAATGGCTTGACCTGTTGCATCAATTTGTGTTCTATGGATCACCTGGACTGTACGGTCATGCCTACCCCGAATGTACCTGCTTCTATACAAACTCAATCTGCGCACACATCCGTTCTCTATCATCGTGCGAGCATTTCTTTAATGGAGGACTCAGAGATGCATACACACTTTGATTTTCACTTATATTATACATACATGATGTATACTTATACATACTTTGAGGTATACTTATACATACTTTGATGTATACTTATACATACTTTGATTTATACTTATACATACTTTGATGGATAGTTATACATACTTTGATGGGTACTTATACATACTTTGAGGTATACTTATACATATACTTTGATGTATACTTGTACATACTTTGATGTATACTTATACATATACTTTGATGTATACTTATACTTACTTTGATGGATACTTATACATACTTGTGATGGATACTTATACATACTTGTGATGGACTCTTACACATACTTGTGATGGACACTTATACATACTTGTGATGTATACTTATACATACTTGTGATGGATACTTATGCATACTTGTGATGTATACTTATACATACTTGAGATGGATACTATACATACTTGTGATGTATACTTATACATACTTGTGATGTATACTTATACATACTTGAGATGGATACTATACATACTTGTGATGTATACTTATACATACTTGTGATGTATACTTATACATACTTTGATTTATACTTATACATACTTTGATGGATAGTTATACATACTTTGATGGGTACTTATACATCCTTTGAGGTATACTTATACATATACTTTGATGTATACTTGTACATACTTTGATGTATACTTATACATATACTTTGATGTATACTTATACTTACTTTGATGTATACTTATACATACTTGTGATGTATACTTATACATACTTGTGATGTATACTTATACATACTTGTGATGTATACTATACATACTTGTGATGTATACTTATACATACTTGTGATGTATACTTATACATATTTGTGATGTATACTTATACAAACCAATAGACTAGGTCTTCACCGCAGCTAGTGCACACCACTGTATTCGAAGCCACAGACACTATCGGCGGACGTGCGGCGATCAAGGACTTCAATGGCTATCACGTGGAAATAGGCGGGTCTGTGTTTCATCAGGTGTGTATGATGACTATTATTACATAGATGGGTCTGTGCTTCATCAGGTGTGCATGATGGCTATTACGACATAGATGGGTCTGTGTTTCATCAGGTGTATATGATGACTATTACTACATAGATGGGTCTGTGTTTCATCAGGTGTGTATGATGACTATTACTACATAGATGGGTCTGTGTTTCATCAGGTGTGCATGATGGTATGTATGAATTAATCGTATGAGTTGATATGTACGAGTTGATATATACGAGTTAACATGTGTGAGGTAATTTTTATGAGGTAAATATTTGTCGTACAATTCAAAATATATACCAATTGATGTACAGAGTAACAGATTCATGATGGCGTGGTGTGATGAGTTTGGCTTAGAGAGGCAGAAAGGCTTCTCCAGTGATGATGGCTCTGACAGTACCGTGGGTGTCTGGGATGGCGATACAGGTTCCTTCCTCTTTAGAACATCCGAGGTAAGTCCAAGTACATGTTATATTTAGAGATACACACTCCTTTCACTTTGGAACATCCGAGGTAAGTCCACGTACATGTTATATATAGAGATACAGACTCCTTTCACCTTATAACATCCGAGGTAAGTCTACGTACATGTTATAAATGAAGATACATACTTCTTTCACTTTAGAACGTCGGAGATCTATCTTCTGTATCAAAGTACATAACATTATACTATCTATCTCCGTCTCCGTCTCAGTTTCAGTCTCAGTCTCAGTCTCAGTCTCAGTTGCAGTCTCAGTTGAAGTTGCGGTGTATTCTTCTGCGCAGAGTTGACTGTATTGTAAGTGGCGACTTGTCTCATTTGCGTCGTTGGCTGTTTAATATCAGTAGTACGGCATTGCGACCTGTGATATTCTTAGACAACCCCACACTTATATCTAACAGATATATTAACGCGTATATAAACAATACATATATTAGTACATTAACACATACTTTAATATATATATATTATTATATTAGCACATATGTTAATATATTATCACATATATTGTCACCATATACTAATTCATATAATAATACAATATCACATATACTAATACTTATATTGAATACATAGATTCATATATTAGCACTTGTATTAGCACATATGAGCACATCAACACGTATATAACACACGTTAACACAATTATTGTGATAATAGTCACCAATTTTAACAATAATACTGATCTTACTTCCCTTTCAATGGGTCCTTTGCGTTTTCGGCTGCAGTGGAAGGTCGTTACTATGGCACGTGTACTCTGGAGATACGGATTGAGTCCTTTGCGGATGCAAAATTTAGCGGAAGCTACGGGTGACCTCTTCGGAAAGGTACTCTTATATATATGTGTGTGTGTGTGCGTGATGTATGTATGTATGTATGTATGTATATGTGTGTGTATCTATGTTGTGTATGAATGTATATATGTATGTATGCACACCTGCACATATACATACATACAAATATGCATACACACATACATACATATATATATATATGTATATAGATATATATATATATATATATATATATATATATATATATATATATATATATATATATATATATATATATATATATGTATATATATATATATA